CTCCGTGGATTTCCGTGGGTTATTTGGGGTCACAGAGTCGGATTTAGGAAATGTTGAGACTGAATAAATTCGGTATTGCAACACATGGCTGGTTCACGGAGAGAAAAGTCGGCGTGTACTCAGAACTGTGTTCATGCTCCCCCCCCCCCCATTATTTACAGACTCGGTTCTACCTGCGGCGGCGCGGGTGTGACCCTCCCACCTTCTTCCGGTACTTTTGCTGATTCTTATCACTTGGGTTTACAGCACTTCTCAAGATACATACTTGTTCACTTCAAAAAGAAAACAGTAGTTTTATTGGGGATCCTCTGGTGTCTTGAGAGTTCCAAGGCTATTAATTACTATTTTTATGTTAGCTTTCACTAAGAAGAGAAACAGGAATAAAAAGAATTTTGACTGATGCCATTTAATGGATTTTTTTAATTCATGAATTAAATGTAAAAAAATGGCATTTAATTCATGAATTAAAAAATCCATTAAAATCATTTTAGAGAAGATACATCCATAAAATTTATGATACTTTCATGATCGCCACACAGCAGTCACTGGAGTTCAGAAACGGGGCCTTTTATGCAGCCTTTCTTTCCTGTGAATAGAATAACATCTGGAAAATAGCGTGAATGAAATAGAAATGTGAATTCTTTAAACATACATTTGTTCTGAAATCCCACAGTCACGTGTCAGGTGAGCTTAGGTCACACAGACACATTCTTCAGTTCTCCAAAAGCTGACTGTGGAATTGTAACAGGACCCCAGACCTGACTGACTCCACAGTGGAAGTGCCACTCAGTCTGTAGAACTCAGCACACAGACAGCACCACCTGCCCCAATGAAAACCAAGACCTGATCCATCAAAGTCCATAGTTCTGGCAAAGTCTCTAGATGTATTCACCTTACCTTTTGGCTTCTGTAGTTCTGCTTCTGGCTAACTGTTCTTGTTAACTGAAGTATGCCAAGCCAGGACATGGTTTCTGTGCTTAAAAGTCCATTCTGAGAAAGGCTTGGAGCTATACTGGGATCCTGATAACACAGTGTAGTCCCTGCCTGGCTAAATAAGACTTTCTATTGGCTTAAACTCACATAGGAGCAGCCTACTCTGGTGAATACCCCACAACAGAATGATGTTCTCTTTCTTCCTGGAGTTGAAGATTGCCTGAAAAGCTGCTCAGATGTTCAAATGGCATGCGCAGTCTGGCTTAGCTACCACGGGAAATGGTGGTGTAAGCAGTGAGAACGGCTGAAGTCTTCTCGGTCTTCAAGACTTTTCTTTCTGCTGTCACAACACAGTGTGTGTTAACTGAATGGACTGTGCATGCTTATATATACACATATATATGTAATAATAATAGTAATGAAAGAGGCCATGAATTTCATAAGGGGTTGAGAGGGCGTAATGGAAGGAGCTGGAGGGAGGAGAGGGATGGGGGAAATGATATAATTATATTTTAATTTAAAAAACTGCAAAACAAACAAACAAACACCCCCAAAATTTGTACTGAGTGGGTTGGAGGAACATTTGGGATGGTGACATTTGTGTGTGTGTGTGTGTGTGTGTGTGTGTTTAAGATCTGTTTTGCAAAGCTTGTATATGGAATGTTAAGATAGAGATGACCAATTTAAGAGGGTCAGTCTTACATAGCTGAATATTAGCAGCCCCAAACATACACATGGAAGCATTCCCACCCAGTCTGTATTAGGTGTCCCGTGTTCTAACATTTCATCCCATTTCCAGTGGTTGGATAGACGATCTGAGTGTCGCCACTTCTCTTTCCAGAACCCTCTCTCTCACCTTCAAACTCTCCCACACTGAATTATTACAGGTAGAAATATTTTGCTCTCTTGTGTCCTGTTTGTTTCTTTGCCCAGAATGCTTTTCTTGTCTGTCTAGGAAGCACTTAACTTACTCAAGTTTCTTCTCAAAATCCATCCCTTTTTCTGATCTATAAATACCAGTGTGATGGCTGAAGAGACTCCATTTTATGCTAGCCACCCATCTTAGTGCTCACTCGCCATTTGTCTGTGACTCCAGGCCCTGGAAGGTAAGTTCCCAGTAACCCTGACTCAGTGACAAACCCCCACACCATCCAAAAGTGTACAGCCATGACTAGCTTTTTTTTAAAAAATTATACGACTAACTGCTTGTTTTGTTACTTGCTTACACAGATACATGAATCTTTTTTGAGTCACCTTAAATACTCTACTTGGCAAAACAGAACTCTTTGCTTGTTTGCATAGATATTGAAGGTCTTCTTGTGGCTTTCCCCTTTAAAAATTCTTCCCCATACCCCTCCTTTAAGGTAATCTCAAATTTGGCTCAGAGATTGTTCGCCCTGCTAGCGGCTAATCAATAAGTCTTTTAATCATAACTGGATTGAGCCTATGGTCTTTCCCCAGGGCTCCATAACCCCAGGGCTCCAAAACCACCAGAGCAGAACTGCTCTATTGAATTTTCACTTAGTTCTGTGGATAACTGCCTTGGTGATGATCCTTGACCACACTCTGAAAGGTAAAATCTGGGAATGTTCATGTGGCTCCTGGGTAGTGATTTTATTCTACATCCCTGAAGCAGAGAGTCACTATGACCCACGCTGGCGGCATATTTAACGTAGAGATGACTGGTGAACATGTGGTCGCCAGGCAACCAGCTCACTGTAATAACTTTGACTCCTATTCCAGTGGACCTTACTAGATAGCAGTGGCCGACACACACTACTGTAGCTCTCAGCTGGAGAGAAGAGGAGGAGAGGACAAGAAAGCCTTCTCCAGACGTTCACCTTTGTGACAACCTTTTCCTGTATTATAATCTTTGCTGTAGTCTTTAAACTGGGAGTGCGTGCTGAGTTATGTGAAGACTTCCCCCAAGTCACTGAACTACTGGGTTAGGGGCTGCAATCAACAATTGGTTTTGTTCTCACAGATCCAAAAGTAGTGTCTTTATTATTATGAATTTACTTTTTTTGAGACAGTATATCTCTGTGTTGCCCTGGCTGTCCTGGAACTTGCTTTGTAAACAGGACTGGCCTGTGAACTCAGTGGTCCACCTGCCTCTGCCTCCTGTGTGCTGGGATTAAAGGTGTGAGCAACCACCGCCCAAGTCTCCCCCCCCCCCCCCCCCCCCCTTTTTTTGAGACAAGGTTACTTTGTGTAGCCTTGGCTGTCTTGGAACTAGGGCTGTAGACCAGCCTGGCCTCAACTCACAGAGATCCACCTGCCTCTGCCTTGGACTGCTGGGATTAAAGGAGTGTGCCACAACTGCCCGGCCCAAATAGTCTCCTTTAAAAAAAAATAAATAAAAAATAAAAATAAATTATTTTTTTATGATTGAGGCAAGAAAACAAGGCTACCAGGTGCTTGGTGCTTCTGTCAATTATTCTCAAGGGTTGATTCTGACCTTTAGCCCCCACTGAGAAGAAAAACAAAAACAAAAACCCAACCCATTCCCAAAAGCCTAACGAGAGAGAGGCCTTTGGACTTCTGTTTTCTGATCCAGTAAAGAATTATTTTTAAAGGACACAGTAAACCCTGTTAGTACAGGCAGTTCAAGGTCACTCAAAACAAAACACTTATCTAGATTATAGGCTACTTAATGTATTTTTTAAATTAATTTCTATAACAGCATCTGACACAAAATTTAAACAGGAATCTTTCCTGGGAGAGAAATATAAGACAGCTTAGAAAATAAGCGTAGAGAACAGTATAGCATCGCAAAAGACTAAAGACACAGGATCCGAGTTGGCAGAAGTGGTTTTCTCAGCCAGACTTCAACACTCCCCACCTCCACACTTTTCTCAGAACACTACCCACTGCTGTCAAGAATAAGACTGAAGAAATTGCAAAGAATATCTAATGGGACTGTTCAATGGGTTTCTAGTCTATCACCATACCCTTGGCAAATAAAGCCTTATAAATTATGTAATGAAACCAACTGAACTGCTCTTCCATCCTTACCCTTGTATTCGCCTTCGTTTAGCGATTTTAGGCGTTTTAGAGAAAAGTAACCAGAATAAATCCACTTATCAAGAAAACACTGTTATCACTTGAGCGTCCATGAAAAATTTCCAGTTTCTTTTCCTATTTCCAGTCAGATACCTATTTGGCTTCATCACTACGAAAGGAACCTAAATTACTGAGGGTTGAAAGAAGAGAAAAATTCAGATAGCAGAGGATGGTTTCGATCCATCGACCTCTGGGTTATGGGCCCAGCACGCTTCCGCTGCGCCACTCTGCTATGCGCCAGGCTAAAGCTAATAAAACCCTTAACCTTGTAGTTGCTATCCTACGCCTACTTTATGTAAGTGCCTAGAGGAAGTCACCCTTTAACTTTGTCTACGCAAAAGGCTGCTACTTGTTGGGAATAATGTCGCTACCGAATCAAAGAGAAAGCAAAATTTGCACTAGAGTAGCAAATATTAGCATACTAATTAGTGACTGGATGTGGATGAGAAAGACAGGTAAATATTTAAAAGAGAATCACGAATTTTCGACAATGGAGAAAACAAGACAATACAGACACTGTCCTCAGCACGGCAGTTGGTAACAGTCTTAGTGACCAACCACGCATTTACCTGCCGGAAGCAAGACTTTGGGGTCTGGTTTGTTCCGAAGTGGAGGTCGCGGAGGAAATTGTGCTGTGTTCTCTCCAGGATTTGGTGCTTTACAGCAGGAGATAAAACCATGGGAAGCGGAACTCACACACACCCCACATCAGCAGGTCTGATCCTCTGACTGATCAGAGTTCTGCAGTCGCCCTAATACGTAGCAAGTGCAAATGTGCATTATTAAAGCCGTTCGTTAGTCAGAACTAGTTAAAATGGATAATAAGTCCTGTTTTGGGACAAAGGACCCAGCTCAGGAAGCGGGAACCACGAGCGTTGGTGACGTCACCAGGCATGGCTATGCCAGGGGCGGGGCGAATGCGCTCGAGGTCTCAGTCTTCAATTAGGTCCGCAGACACTGCATATAAGGGAAGTGCCTGCGTCTGTTTTGCTACTGAGGTCTCAGCTACAGCACCTTAGCCATGTCTGGCCGCGGCAAAGGCGGGAAGGGCCTGGGCAAGGGCGGCGCCAAGCGCCACCGCAAAGTCCTGCGCGACAACATCCAGGGCATCACCAAGCCCGCCATCCGCCGCCTGGCCCGGCGCGGCGGCGTCAAGCGCATCTCCGGCCTCATCTACGAGGAGACCCGCGGGGTGCTGAAGGTCTTCCTGGAGAACGTGATCCGCGACGCCGTCACCTACACGGAGCACGCCAAGCGCAAGACCGTCACGGCCATGGACGTGGTCTACGCGCTCAAGCGCCAGGGACGCACGCTCTACGGCTTCGGCGGCTGAGCTGCCCCAACATTGTAATTTCTCAAAACCAAAGGCCCTTTTCAGGGCCGCCCACCTTCTCTGTAAAAGGGCGGACATTTTATGCGTTCAGCCGTTTCACTAGTCCTAGAAATAGGCACGCTTATGTGATAACGTAGTGTTTAGTGCTAGCTTTGCGATGATTCGGAAAGCGTGCATACATCTTGCAAAGAAGGATAAACCGATATCTGGCGTGTTACCTGCATTTAGATGGCGCGAGGTGCTCGGACAAAGCGTGAGGGTTTTGCCAAGGCGTACCCGGGGACAAAGGCGCAGGGCGGTGGCTGGGCGCACAGCCTGGTCTGTGGTTGGTCGGTTCTTTGAGCTGTGCTGAGTGCTGAAACCAGGCTTGAAAGGCTGCCTCGAGTGTCCTGGAAACCCACACGATGTTCGGCGGCTTTTCTATCACCTATGGTGGCCTGGTGTTCGCTTAAGGGAAGGAGCTTCAAAATTGGGCATCAGATACAATACAAAGCCATGGGCAGTTTTACTGTGCAAGCTTTGTGCAAACATCCGAGTTTCTTTGTTGATTGGTCGGTTGGATATCTGAATGAACAACTTGAGGCACTATTGACATAAGCACACTTTTGACATTTTCGACGTGGTCTGTTTGTATCTTCAGGAATCTGGTTTCAGCTAGGAGTGCTAAGATTTGAGAGTACTGTACACCGGACAATTTGTGGTTAAATGTCCTGATGCCTTGTTTAAAAACAATAGAAAAAGTGCTCTTTGTGACCAGCAAGTAACTTGTAAGGTTATCCTCTGAAATCAAGAAAACAAATGGAGTTAATGTGATTTTCTTCTAACTTTATTTACTCTCTGAGTAAATAAGAACAATGTATGGGGGTTGGGTCTCCTTCCACCTAAGCAGCCAACTCAGGTTAGCGGGTTTGCAGCAATCACTTGACTCACTGAGGCTTCTGGCTGTCTCCCTGCTTATCTTTATTATTGTCATCATTATTATTATTATCATTTTTGGTTTTTATTTTTTGAGACGGCTTCTTTGTGTAACCCTGGCTATCCTGGAACTCCCTCTAGACTAGGCTGGCCTCAAATTCAGAGATTGGCCTGCTTCGGCCGCTTGCTTTTGCCTTTAATCCCGAGGACTCGGGTTAGAGGCCTGTGCCACCACCTTTAAATAAAGCTCTCATCTTTATTTTTAAAGATAAGGGTTTCTGTGCGTACGGAAAAAAAAAAAAAAGACACTATTGGAGGTTAAGAACCTGTTTGAGGAAGAAAAAAGTACCCGAGGCTTAAAAAAGTAATCTGAACACACCAAGCATCAGGCACAGTTCTGTGCTCTGGGGATTACAGGTATAAATAATTTAAATGTATATGTATGAGTGTTAGTGCACCATGTTCCCAAGGAGGCCAGGAGAGGGTTTCGGACCCCCTGGAACTGGGGTTCAGAACAGTTGTGAACCACCATGTGGGCGTTGGGAATGGATTCCTTTTCCTCTGCAAGAGCAGTCAGTGCTGGAGCAGTTTCTCTAGCCCAGGACAAAATATTTTTAAATCTTCCAGGACGTGGTGTCGATGGGCGTGGGAATTCAGACACATCAAGCAGCACACGGCTAAGTGTTATGCAGATTACTGAAACAGGAAAAGGCACAATGTGTGCCAGGAGGAGGTAATATTTATTTAGATGACGTGATGATATTGACAGTGTGAAAGTGAAGGAGCGTTCCTGTTGGTCATCTATGAAAGTCTGGGGAGCTGAGACAGCCTGAAACCCAAATGGAAGGGAGTGGTTCTTGGGTACTTTTGTGGGCTCTTGGAACTACTTTGGGTTTTGCTGTCATTGAAGTGGGTAAGATGGGTGTGTGTGTTCCAAAACAGCTGACCACACAGCTGCCATGACAGGCTTAGAAGCCCAGACATTCCCTATACCCCTAGACAAATGCCCTGAACCCTGGACATACCCTCACTCCAACCTCTGCTATGATCAAAATCCCACTCTACTCAGGCTTGCATTGGACAGACAGAGAGACCAAGCTCGGACCTTGAAAAATAAAGGCTCTTTGCTTTTACACATGGGATTTGGCCTCCGTGAGGGGTCTTTTGAGGGTCCCCTTGATCTGGGCATAACAGTGGAAACCATTATAGGAGTTTGGCTGAGAACAGGCAAGATCTGATTTATATTTTAAAACATCAATATAGATGCTTGATGGAAAACAGTGATAAGGAAAATAGTAAGGAGGCTGCTACAAAAATGTAGTTTGTGAAGGACAATGGTTTGGATCAGTGGTCTAGGCAATGAAAAGTGGTTAGTCTGTGTATGGCTTTGCAGATTTAAGGCTTACCCTTCAACATTCATATTTCTAGCTTCTATTTTTTAGCAAAAATGGAAATACTGACAATATTAAAAATATTGAGGTTGTGGCTAGATAGGCATCAGTGGTACTTAAGAGAGTGTACTGCTCTTGGAGAGGCTTAGAGTTCAGTGCCCTCCACCTATGTTGGTTGGTTCACAACGACCACAGTAACTCCAGTTCCAGGGGAAATCACTTATGCAGAGACACATACATATATACATATACATAAAAATAACAACAACAAAAACTCTGTAAGCAAAAGTATTGAAGCTAAAATCAACCGTGCTCTGCATATAGTTTCACGTCTTCCTCAGCCTACCCTGGGGCTAGGCGCATTCAAGGGTGAAATGTTATAACTAGCAAGTCTCTCTTGTGCTCCAATCTTTTCCTAATTAGTTCTTGTTAGTGCTAGTGAGTTTGTGGAGAGTCCTTACGTTGCTTGAGGGGCAACAATATTTAGAGGTAAAGGGTCTTGGACGCCCCAATAAGACAGGAGGTGTTCTGTTAGAAAAGCATCCTTTACAGGACCAGTTGAAGAACTTTGACACAGAGGATTAGCAAAGCTGCTAGACCATAGCCCCATTAGATCCACAGGGAACTCAGTGAGATACAAGGCTTGAAGCACCATAGGCAACTCCCCTGGTGTGGTCACTGTCCAGCCTCAACGGCTTTTATTAATCTCAAGAATGTCATGCAGTAATTACTAACTACCTCCTATGTAGGATTAGGAACTGCTGTAAATGGGATCAATTGCCTAAATCCATAATTCTAAGTATTCAGAACTGTTACTTTTGTCTGGAGGGATGTATTAAACGAGGTTTGAATATTTCTGAATAAATTGTTTAAAAAGATGCTTAAAGTTAGCAAGCAGTACTGAAAAATGAAAGTTTAAATAACATATAGTGCTTGGCAATTTTATTTTACAAGTCTCTACTTTATTGGGTCATTTAACATTCACAGTCATTTGTTTAGTGGGCAGATAAATCACGAAGGTAATAAGAAATTACTGACTCCAGATGGATTGCCGGAGTCCTCCATTTAGAAAAGTTGTTAAATTTGGGGGCCGGGCATGGTGCCACAGGCCTTCAATCCCAGCAGTTGGGAGGTACACTTAGGAACCCTGAACTGTGTAGGCCAGCCTGATTTACAGTGAATTCCAGGACAGTGAGCACTAGAGTGAGATCACCTCAAAAGACAAAACCAAGATAAAAAAGGGCAGGCATACGCCTTTAATCTCCGCACCAGAGACAGAAGCAAATAGGTGGTATAAAGAGGGCATTATGACTAGTTTTCCTTATATATAAAAATACCTACGATCATCACAAGGAATTTAAACTTGACTATGCAGATACATTGTATTTAAAATGTAAGCTGTTCAGACTAGTGACCACATCCCAATCATGCTACAACCAAACACTGTGGTTCACACCCAGTACCAAACACCAACTATGTTGTGCAGATAGTTACAGTTCTCAAGGAACAAGTGAGTGGCTCTGAAAAGAGCCTTTGGGTTAAGAGTGAGATCCGCCGCTCACTTGGAGCTGGTGTACTTGGTGACGGCCTTGGTGCCCTCGGACACGGCGTGCTTGGCCAGCTCCCCGGGCAGCAGCAGGCGCACGGCCGTCTGGATCTCCCGGGACGTGATGGTCGAGCGCTTGTTGTAGTGCGCCAGGCGCGACGCCTCGCCCGCGATGCGCTCGAAGATGTCGTTGACGAACGAGT